ATCATCATCATTGGGTTTGGCTGTGCTGGATATTGTTGGTACTCCTGTGGTTCCGTCTTGATCATGGTGTGACTGGACGGGTGACTTTTTTGAAATAAAATTAAATATTTTTGTTGTGGAAACAATTTATTTTGTTTGGAGTATTTTTTTGTTCATGACATGTGACTAGAAATAGTCTATGCTATGAAGTGAAATGAACAGCTCAGTCATACAACATAGTTTGGTTGATGCTATGCCCGTTAAACTGAATAATAGCTTTGATGACTCACAACAAATAGTGAAATTTAACAGAAAAACGGCAAAATTTTCAAGACTTTGGTGGAGATCCTATACTTTACTTCTTTTATACTGGTCATATGGTATCATTAAAGTGTGAAGAGATCATTAGCAACGCTTAAAACAATAAATCTTACTCCAAATAGATTGCACGTGAAATAAAATGACAACGTCAGCTTAAATAAACAATTTGCTCGAAACCTAGCAAGTAATAGCGTGAAATTAGAACCATGTGCTTTCTCTAGTATAGACTACAAGGACAATCTGAAGCAAGAACAGTGAATAAACAACAGAACGACCAGTTAAAACGTTAATTAAACATCCTAACAATAATACCGGTAGATGTATATCGAGGACTTTTATCAATGTCACTGACAAATTCTGGTTAATGAATGTATATATATACTCACAAATAGGGACTCGATTGAAATGAGTGAGGCTCCATTTTCACCCCACCTTACGCGATTTAACAGGGATGAACTGCAACTGTAAAACAACAGAAAAAGCCGTTACTTATTTGCATACGATGCTTTGAAAATCTTAAAAGCCGATTCACCATTCAAGGTCCTTTCAGTAAAATTGCCATTTTGGAATCGAAGCCCTTTATTTCCCCGGCATCTCGCTCTTCTCGGGCCCCTCACGCCTTCAAATCGCGCGCTATCAGCGATCAGTCGAGCACAATCCGTGAAAAATAATTGAATGTACACGTGTATTGGCAATATTAATAAAACTCGTACCTGATCGCGTGGATATTACCCGAGAAATTTAGCTTTCAAAGAACAATGAATGGGTTTCGACAGCAGGCAATCCAACAAGAGATATTTTGGAACAGGGTCACCGTTGGCGGCGCTGGTCTGACGCTCATTACCATTAACCCCTCCCATGTGTAAACCTGCTTACAGGTGCCAGACAATAAAAGTGATGATTGAATATTGGTCTGGTTTTCACTGTTCGCCAACAATAATACTGATAATAGATCATAATAAACTCCGGTGGTTCTACAGGAAAACAATTATTTTCTATCTAGAAAAACAAAACAAGAAGAAATTTGTTTTAGTGAATGACGAGTATTTTTGTAGATTTTATAACTTTTTACCATGGTGTATATGTCTATGATATGCCATATGTTATTGTTGGCTGGTGACATAGGTCACCAAACGATATACTGTGCCGTGGTGGGGGTTACTCGTACTCCAATAGTTTTAGTAAACAAGTACGCGCCGCTGTTTCGGTCCACATTATCACAGTCGAGCAGATCGTGTTGTTTTTAGTCAAATGCCGCCCTCGGCGTCGGTCTCTTTTTTTAATATTTATTGGAATCATGTAATATTTACATATCTGTGTTACCTATCTATTAGAGTATATAATGACAATGATAAGTACAAGTGGTATACATACATAGTATATCTAATGACAATGATAAGTACAAGTGGTATACATACATAGTATATCTAATGACAATGATAAGTACAAGTGGTATACATACATAGTATATCCAGGTTACAGCTCCCTGGTATATCTAATGACAATGATAAGTACAAGTGGTATACATACATAGTATATCTAATGACAATGATAAGTACAAGTGGTATACATACATAGTATATCTAATGACAATGATAAGTACAAGTGGTATACATACATAGTATATCCAGGTTACAGCTCCCTGGTATATCTAATGAAATGATAAGTACAAGTAATATACAGAGATGGGTTATGGCTCAGAAAATTGCTCATTTCTTGAAACAATCTTTTTTTGGTATTCACCCCACTTCGAGTTTAATTTGCCATAATATTCAATGTATTAAATCTCCTGAACAAAATTTTTAAAATGTGTGAAATTAGAATTTTGCTTTTTCCTTCTACATGTATAAATAAATGTTTTCCCACAAATTATTAGGAAGTTCAGTAGTATTGAATAATTCTCATTTCCAAGAAGAATATCTTTGTTTGACAATGATCTCAATCTGAGGCCAATATGAATACCCCATTTATAATTAAAGTTTTCCCAAAATGCCCTAGTATAATCGCACTCACAGAAGAGATAGAGGATCGACTCAATTTTTGCATAACAAAAGCTGCACATTGCTGATATTTCTCTAGGGCAGTTAATTTGTATAGTTTTTCATTGGTGTACAGGATATTATTTACCAGTTTCCATTGAAATTCTCTCAAATTTGTGTCTATGGTTAGTATGAATATTCTGCTATATATTGTCCCAACAATTGATTACTTCATCCAATAGATTAGTAAAGTACAATTCAAATCTAGGGGGTATAAAGTATTTGGAAACAATTCCTTTTGCTATATATTTGGTTTTGCAACTATTCAAATGATAAGGTTTGTCTAAAAATGTAAGATACAGATGTTCCTCATTTTGAGGTTGTCTAAAATTACACCAACCCCCACCTACGCAAATTCAGGTCACGGTGAGTACCTCCCCTCCCATACCATGACTAATACTTCTGTTTAATTACCCTGAATAATTTCAAAAATCCGGGTTTTGAAAAGTGTTATTTTGCTTCTTAATGTTTGAATATTTTTGTCGAAATATCCCAAAATAGACTCACTGTAACACACTAAACTGCCTGTTACCATGAACGTATATGTCCATGACTGTACATTATAAACCAATAAACAATATAATTACTTACTGGTTCTTTATCTCATGTCCCGTCACTATAGTTTCGTATTGTAAACATATTGAATTTTTTATTTGTTCCAGGTAATACAATATTCAGTTTCATTTAACGTGTCTGTAATTTCGGAACTTCCTTGACAGTTTTTTTTTTTTTTTTACGTTTTCGGACGAGTACGTAATCTTGTGAGAAACCGCGATTAACACACCAGGTCCTGTCTGAAACACGTCGAATTTATGTCGAAGTTTTGGGACGATACAGGTTCAGGTTTTAAACCTCCTTGAACGCACGCATCTACCATATTGATAACCCCATTCCTGTATTAAATTTTGTTTTATTTGGATATGGTTGAAATATCTGGTTCTGTTATTACGGGTCTGGATTCATACTGAGTCACTTCAAAGTTGCCAGGTTAATCCATTATTAGTGTTAAACTAAATTATATTTGATTCAAATTATTTTTCTTCGAGTTTATTTCTCAACGTTTCTCTTGACATTCTCCATCGACCACATATGTTGACTAACACGATACAACATTTATTTTGACATAGCACTGGCCTTTAGGAAAGTTACAGCATAAGGGTCTTAACGATTATATAAAAACCATGCAGCTTGAGGCACAAATAATGACAAAGAATTTAAGAGAGGCGCTAAACTAAGAATATTACGAGTAAATGAATGTACCAGCTTGCAAGTTCACCATGAACTACTATTTGTAGAAAGTGTAAAAAAAGCAAAAAATCGCTCCCTAAATATATTATAGACAGTATAAAATTCAAATTGAACGCGTTTTACAAAATAATGTAACTTTTAGTTTATATAACAGACGCATACAGAGTACTTCGAATTCTTCAAGTAAAAATGTAGTTGACTTTGAAAGCTAGGAAATGATAATCTACAATCTCTAGTTTGTAACGCAAGTTTAGACAATGACAAAGCTTCACTAAGAAACGTGCGACAATTCTTCAGAACTACAAAATTGACGGTGATATAACTGAACGCGTTCAAGTAAAAGACGTCGGGATCATTTTCAAATCCAAATTAAATTCGGCCGCCCTTATTCATGCAGTTGTATCAAAGGCGCTAGAGAATGATTGACTTTATCAAACGAACATGCAGACAATTCAGCAGTCAAGTTCCGCCTGTATAATGAATGTGTTTCACTCGCATGTCAGAAGTCAACTTGAATATTGTTCCAAAATCTTTGAAATCTAGTCGCCACGTCTGATCAAGAAGATCGAACGGGTCCAAAAGAAATTTGTCATGAATTCAACGCTACCATACCTCGTATGCATTATCTTGTTACGCTGCCTTATGCAATCATTTTGATCTAGCAACACTTGAGTCTCGTAGAAAGCTTCTTGACGCTGTTTTTATCCATTGTATTTCTCTTACATTATTTCTAAAGTTAATTAAGTAAGGGACGACGTCAAAAGATCAATGTCGGATAAAAAAACTTATTTGCTTTAGTTTGGCGGTGGGGGGTTTTGACCTCAAAAAGTTTCCATCCTGCAAAAACGATTTTATCTTTTAATGAAGTCAAAAAAATCTTGGAGTATTTGTAGTTCGTTTTTTCTATCCAATCATGGACAAAAATAACAGAAAATGAAAAAAAAAAACATCCAAGAGGAGAAAATGGTTTGGTCCGAGTGTATGTACATAATATGTGCGTCAAATGAGGTCAATTTCAGGGCATGGACCTAGAGCATGAGCAGAACCCAGAAAAGTAATTTGCGCATTCGTAAAGTCTTTTAACACCCACCCGACAACCAACTGCTATGCCATACTACTGTTGATTATCAATTTGTATTTAATGGTGAATTTAGTCTGACACCATGATCAATATTTATCAATTAAGTTTCAGTGGTGGGTGGGGGGGGGGGACTAAAGGAATTAAGTTTGTTATCCTACATTGAACTTTTGATGTTGTCCCTAAATAACATGATTTGTATTATTTAGCTTGCGTAACATAGAAATTAGTATACAGTGTACTTATGTAACTGCATTTGCATGCTTTTTATATT